TATTTGTATATAAATATAATTTATTTGTAAGTTATTATTAAAAGATCCTAGTAGCTCAGTGGTTGGAGTTTTAGCCTCCAACTCTAAGGTACTCGGGTTCGAATCCCGACAATGACAATAAATCACCTAATAATAAGTTAAACTAAATAAATATAAATAAAAATGTAAATAAATAAAAATAATTAAATTTGTTATTGATTAACTTTTTCATTGATTTAGTGATCGATTCAGTGACCGATATGGTTATATATAATCGGTCACTTGAATCGATCACTAAAATCGATGACCAAGGAAATAGTGACCGATTCCAGTTGGTCACTATTTCGGTCACTATTTTAATTAGTAACCGATTTTGCACATTTAGTGACCGAATTTCCGGTCACTATTTGGTGTTTTTCTTGTAGTGCCGGTTCATCATCAAAGAACAAAACATATAGCTATCAAATATCACTTCATCCGTGAAACTGAAACATAAAAACAAATTCAATTTCAGTACTACTTAACAGAAGAACAAGTAGCATACATATTTACAAAGGCACTACCGAAAGCAAAGTTCGAACAGTTACGCAATATGCTAGGAATTAAAGAAGTTTGTATCAAGGAGGAGTGTTAAAAATTGACACAAACTTCTAGAATTATGTAGAAAACATATGTGTATGCGATGGCGGATCTTGAACATTGATCTTGGGGGAGCCAAATAATATATTATTAATAAATAATAAATAAATATAAAAGAAAGAAAAAAGATGAAAGGATAAAATTATAAATATATACTTAAATATATTAAATGATCATTAAGTTTGAGGGGGACAAAATTATAAATTATATGAGAGTTACAAAGCCGAGGAGGGATTGAGAGGATAGAATTGTAAATATACAAGTAAATATATTAAATATTCATTAAGTTTGGGTGGGCCAAAATCATAAATTACATGGGAGTTACAAAACTTTAGGGGGGCCACGACCCCCCTCAGCTCCCAAGAAGATCCACCACTGTGTGTATGCTAGTTACTAGTAGAAACTACAATATGATTCTAGAAAAAGAAAAGAAGAAGAAGAAGAAGAAATATGTAGAAATATAATAGTGTAGAAACAATGAAGTTAGTAGAAAATTTTAGAATCTTGTAAGTAAAGCCTATAAATAGGCATGAAAGGAGTCTTTGTATGTGTAGTTGAAAACACTATCAATCCAAAAGCTTCTTTTCTATTAGCCCTTACTCCTTCTCTTGTCAAAATCCTTAACTATCTTTCATCCTTAAACATTCCCACATAAGTTTTTTTCATTTTAAATAAAATCTTTGCTTTCCTTCTATTACTTCAACCCACTTCCAAAATACTAACAAAGAATATAATATTTTTAATTATAATTTTTTATTTATTTTAACTTTAATGTATAAATATATTTTAAAATGGTTTAGTCCGTCCCACCTTTAACCCATCAAATTGGCAGGTTAGATGGAACAGACCAAAATAGGTTGACTGGTTAAAACTATCAACCCGTCCCGCCATTTTTTAGGTAGGCTAGCGAGGTCATCGGATCTAGCTCGTTTTGTCATCTTTACTAAAATTTTCACACAACTTGTTGCCAAGTTGTGACTCTTGGACTTCCACAATCTATCTTAAGGAGATATTACCATTACAAATTGTTATTATCTTCTCTTCTTTTTTTCTTAAAATTGTTATTTGTATTGGGATACTTATCACACATCTTTCTCATTCTCTCTTGTTTGTTAGGTCACTTGAGACTCATCAATTTTATTTTCTTTCTTATTTGTTAGGTAAAGTTTTCTATATAATATCATGTAGTGATCTTTTTTTGTAATGAGAATGAATGAAAGCATCAAAAGGTCAACATTGAAAGGATGCAATGGATGTTGAAATTCAAATTATTTAAAGAAAATGATACATAAAAGTTGGTTGATCCACTATTGAATTGTAAAATTGTAGGTGCTGAGTGAATCTTCAAAAATAGGCTGAAATTGAATATCTTAAGAAATTGAAGGCTAGACTAATAGCAAATGACTACACTTAAGAGGAAGAAATAAATTATAGAGATATTTTTACATCAATAACAATCTTGAAACCACTAAAATTGTTGTTATGTTAGCAAACATAAAGAGATAGAGTATTTATCGACTTAATATTAATTAGTCTTTCTACATGAAAAATTAATAATGTTAGAATCGCGCAGTGGAATGTTCGCGTGATCGGACAAAAACCAAGAGGGGGGGGTGAATTGGTTTCTTAACAAAAATTAGGTTTTCAAAATTTTTCCCAAATTTTACCGATTAAAAACTGTGTAAATGTAAATAGAGTAGAGATAGAATCTTACACAGGAGATTTATACTGGTTCGGATCAAAAGACCCTACGTCCAGTTGCTAATCACTCAAACAGAGGATTAACGCTGTCACTATAATCACAGTTGTTACAAACAAATTACAATGGAAAAGATAAAGTAAAGAAAACACCTCTCTTGAAATCCACAAGAGATGAATAACAACTTTCTCTAGAGACGGCACAACACACAATCCACTAAGAACTCCACTTAGTGATTTTTATCGCTTTTAGCCCACACCAGGTTCCAAAAGCCCCTTTTTCTTGCAACAAACAGTTCTCTAACACTCACAACACTTAACTTTTGTATGAAAAAGGTTGTTCTGGTTTTCTGAGTGCCATAGAGAAGCTTAAGTAGAGAAATTAGGGTTTGGGAATTGGGAATTTCGAAACTAGGGTTCTTGGCAATAGGGTTTTCAAAAATAGGGTTGATTTGAAGTTAAAAATAAAATTCTGACTGAAATAATCGATTAAATGAAGTGTTAATCGATTATTATAGAGCCAAAATCAACAGAACCCCAAAACTCTCTGTTTTAATCGATTAAAAGACCTGTTAATCGATTAACAGGGGTGTTAATCGATTAAACTAGTGAGCAGATACAAAAAATGGTTTTTTCTCACTGTTTTAATCGATTATTTCACCAATTAATCGATTAAAGCCGAGCCCCTTTGATAAATTTGAGCTTTTTGAAGCTTCTAAGGTGCAGACTATGTACCGGCTATCTCAAACTCTAATATTACAGACTCAATCTAATCAAAACAGAGTTATTACAATATAAAACAAGTCTTCAACTCTCTAAGTCTTGTATTCTTGAATCATCATCAAAATCAACAAGCTTCATGTCCATCAAGTTCAACATCAAGTCCTTGAATGTTCAACAATGTATACGTAGAATAACTACAGGTTATGTTTTTCAAGAATGCAAAAATTGGGTATACAAATTAAAAAAGGTCCTATATAACCTAAAAGATGTTCGTAATTAAGCAAACTAGAGTTTCTTCTTGCAACCAAAAAGTTTGTAAAATGTCCAAATGAATTTACTTTGTTTGTAAATAAAGAAGGTAAAATCTTAATTGAGTGTTTATAGTAGTCATGAATTGATGTTATGATAAATGAATTTACTATGACTTACTATGGTATGATGATATTTTTTACACATTGAAATTTTGCAAAGTTGTACAATGGAGTTTTTATAGGATAAAAGAAATATATTAATTATTGTTGGACAAATTTAATATGTTAATCTTATAATTCTAGATATTAAGTTATTGAAATCAAATCAAGAATGAGAAGTTCATAGTACTTTATTCAAGTAATGAGTTGGAAATGTCACTTGATATATCACTTTAATACAACTAACTTGATACTGTATATCCAATTAACTTGATATATCACTTTATGAAGTATATAAAGATAGTCATTTTCTTACGATAAAGATATTTACAAAGAATTCAAAATATGGGACTTTTGTATAAAGTGGGAAGAAATAAAGAATTACTTTATATATTTACTAGGTAAAGAATTTTTATATTTACTAAATAAGAGATTGATGCAATAGAAAGAACACATTTAATTATGTTTTATGGTGTGAGAGAGTATGATTTATTTGACATAAAAAAACTAATAATTAGATTATAACTAAATTAGAATTCATAACAATTATATTATATTATATTATATTATATTATATTATATTATGTATTGCCATGGTTAAGAAGTATTTTTAGAACATGTTTTGTGATAGTGCTTTTATAATTAAATTATCTAAAATCTCAACATACATATTGATATGAAATTTGTCCCGATAAGTATATCAACGTCAATGAAATGGTATAGACATGCTTCAAAAACTTAAGATAAACTATTAAAAACACATTAAATTTAAATTATTGATTGAGATAAATTGTTATTAAGAAGTTTTTTATTTATTAATTTCAGTATTTTAAATATGTTATTTTCTATTACTCACATTCAATGTTGTCAGGTATTCATTTACACCTTGCAGCCTTCTTTTCAATACCGTAAATATGATTTTGTATTATAATAGACATTAATTAAGGATTTAAAATTTTGAAAAAAATGTTATCATGATATAACACTGTTTTTTTAGCACATTCGTGACCTGTTTTCAATAAATTCTGTTAATGACTTGTTAACCATTGATATCAGTATTAGTAACACGTGTAAAAACTTGAGACAACACTTGGTATACACGTTAGGACATAACTACGTTGTCAACCTTCTTAATTAGTTTGTTGAAATATTTTTTTTAAATATTGATTGATAATTACTTTAAAGAAATATTCATATAGTAATACACATGCGATTTCAACAAAAAATGATGAATTTTAAAGTGTCTGAAACACACATATATGTATACTCGAAATACTTCGAATTTTCAGTTGGTGACACGACTATATTTAGTGTGTTTTTAGCATTAAATAAAAGGCACTTATACTTCATTACATGAAAAAAAAAAAAACAAAAAAAAACAAAAAACATTAGATATGATGATGAGCTTGACACATAGCTCAACTAAATCCCATTACATGAAACATAGTATATATATAGAGAGTGAGATAGATTGAGAAAGAAAGGTATTGTCTCTTATTTGATGAGGCATGCAAATTTAAGAGAAAGATTTGTTATCCATGCATGGACATGTCACTCGCCAGCAGCGAAAGCCTCAACAGGGAAAGTCTTGGTGATACCAGCGAGACTCTTGAAGTGGATCTTCCCAGTTGGAGGGTCATCCACTGTGATCTCACTCACCGGAGGCCACAGCATCAACTCTTTCGCCTTCACACCCTTCAGCTTCTTTATCTTCTTCTTTGAGATGTACCCTGTTATCTCACTATCATAGCTCACCAACTTCTTTATCCTCTTGAACTCGTGCTCCACCTTCTTCTTCTGCACGATCCACATGTACCCCGTGCCCTTCACGTGCCCTACTTCGATCACATCAGCCAGAGGAAGAAGCCCCTCTGGAAGATCGAACTCTTGCAGCAGTGAAACCGCAAGTTTCAGACCTTCCTCGTGCCCCTTCTTCACAACCCCTCCTTCCTTTTCTGCCATTCAGAAACCCCTTTTGTTGCTTTGGTTTGGAATTTATGAGAGATAGAGAAACTGTTTTTGTTGGTTGGTTGGAGAGGCTTTTGGGTTGTGTGTGTATATATAGATTCTGCTTGTGAGGGGACAACGTTTGTGCTTTGTGGAGATCGAAGTGAATTTCTTTGTACGTGCCGTCCAGTGAATTTCTCTTGTCACTTACACTTGTTTTGTAGAGTAGAATATCGTTGGAGTGAACATTACGTGAATTTTATATCGGATGTGGTGTGGTTTTCTAGAAATAGTGACCATGGTAAGGACATCTGCAAGACGGCATGAAACCAGACTGAACAACCAATGCAAACCAATGAATGCTTGGCAGATATTTTGGAAGAAACTTGTAGCAGTTAGTTTAGATAATATCTTCACAAACATGTATCAAATTAACGATATTCGATTATAAGATATATAATGATTGATTATAGACTACATGATCTAGGATCCATGGATATCAAAATGCTTTGTTTTGTGTACATTGAGAATATGGTAACATTTTAGTCTTGAAAGTTGGTATTTTCTATCGGCTAATAAAGAGCAGATTTTTTAATAATGGTACACGAGATAACGTAAGATAAGAATATGAAATGGATTAGATTATAGACAATTGAACACTTACGAGACCAGATAAAAATAAAAGAGACACTTTTCTTAAACTGAAAAAAAAAAAAAAATTGAACATTTGTTATTTGTTTACCGTAATATTATTTCTTAAGCCCTGCAAGGTGTGTGATAATTATCTCTGTCGTGAATGGTTCCATGTACTAAACCCTAAACCCTAAATAAAGTAATTCTTTTTTCCTACCATTCGCAATTTTAAATCAAACTAAACCACAAAAAATTAAAGCTATTAAAACCGGGATTCACCCCGTATGGTCTGTTCCTCTTGTAAAAAAAGAAAAAAAAAAAAAATATATATATATATATATATATATATATATATATATATATATATATTTAATAGGTTAACTTTCGTGGATTAAATTTTTTTTAATAGTTTAATTTGATCTTTATTTTAAAATAAATAAATTAACTTAATTTGATTTTACGTTAGATTAATAGGTTAACAAATTAATTTTAGTTTGATTTTTTTTAATATTAACGTATCTATATCAAATCAATTAATTAAAAAAATATTTAAATAAAAATAAAATATATTTTTGATTTTTTTATTAATAAAATTGATTTTTATTTAAGATATAATAATTTAATAAAAATTTATTAATTTAAAATAGTAATTAATCTTAATTATTAGATCTTAAAAAATAATTATTAAATATTTATTCTGATATTTACTTATAAAATAAATGAATCTCTCTTCAAATTAATTTAATATATATATATATATATATATATATAATATTAATAAAATAATATTATTTTTATTTTATTTAAAAAATAAGAATTATTCTATAAAACATAATAACTCATAAGTTTATAGATTAACTTAATTTAACTTAATTCAATCATATTTGAGATAAAAATAAGTTTGATTCAATTTAGACTATAATTCTTTTTTTAATTTAATTTACTTTTTAGACGTTTCAAATAAGTTTATTGGACTTAACTTTTTTAACAGTCTTAACAAAAATAGATAGATATATATTTTTTTGTATCTAAGTGTACTTTTATGAGATTTCATTTAATTCACTTTCCTCAAAAAGAAAAGTAGTGTTTAAATGGTCTGCAATGATATTATAAAATAAAAGAAAACATGTTTTTTATTTTTTTTACTTAATTTTGGCCGTGGGAGGAAAAAACATTTATTCAGAGCATTAGATAATATTATTGGTCATATTAATATGAATATAATGTTCATTTTACTTAATCGAATTTTAATATTAAATTAGGTATTTCACTATTTTTTAAATCGATCTTGCGATTTGTTGCAAGCCCATTAGACCCATTCTCGTACCTGCACTCATTTCCTATAAAAATTTTGGAAGAAAAGAGAAGATTGAATTATGACTTCGCGAGATTTTAGGTAATATGTTTAGTTTTGACAATATAAAATTTTAGAATTGAAAGTGAATTGAAATCAATTATTTATTTATTTATTTATTTTCCTTTAAAAAAAAAAAAAAAAAGGCCACGGAAAATTGGTAATAGTCTGTCGCCAAAGGGTGAAATTTTGAGATCTTCCAATCTTATGAGTTGTGCATGTCAAATGTGCAACTTAAGGCTGTAGAAGTAATATCGATCACCAATTAATTAATTAATTTATATATATATATATATATATATATATATATTAAGAATTTCAAGAAAAATCAGAGTCTATAAATTTCTCATATTAACAAATTATGAAGGTTTCACAACCCTTAAAAAAAATCATAAGGTTAATTGGAAAAACTTGTCAAGTTATCAGTTCACTTTGATCGATTGAACCAAGTTGACCACGTTGAATTTGAGAACAATACATGGATGATAGGGAACATGAGTTGTTTGCCTGTACATTATTATTTGTTATTTTTTAAAATACATTATTTCCCAATTATTTCAAGCATTTTCCAACGAATCATTTCATAAATATCATACTATACATCATTCTGACAAAAAATCATTTCATTATTATTATAGTTGTGAAAGCTGAAACAAGTTGCAAAATCTTTTGACTGTCTCCTCCACGTGAAGCTCTATAAACAATAAGTGAATGATGGCAAATCCAGTGAAGCTCTTGCAATAGACTTGTATTCTTGGAGTTTCTCCAAAATATTTGTCGCGAGTTCCTGTTCACACGCAAATATTTGACATAAAATTTAGGAGCACAGATATAAGATGGTAGAAAGAGAAGGCATTTGGAGCTCATAATTTTGTTTTATGCACCCAATGTCCTCATCATGAGTCTTTGGTTGCAAAGTAGTCGCCTAGTCAACAAAAGATCATCATTTATTACCTTATTATCCCGCGTTCTTATGTAGCCAACAAGAATGATTTGCATCTTCTGCTTCTGTTTCAGGTCACTGTTTGTGTCAATAAGGTAAACATGCTGCGAAATAAGCCCAAGTATTCTCCATTACTTACAGTTATCAATGTGGTCAAAAGGATATATACTGTATAATCACATATCTAAGAAAGGATTGCAGAAAAAAAAAATCTAATTGTCAAAACTATGAGCTTTCATTCAAATATATAAAAATAATGATGTTACTAAAATTATAAATAATGTGCTTTAACACTAAAATGCATAATTTTTATCTAGACTCTACAACACGAGTACTAAATGGTGGTGCATCAGAAGTTCCTGATGTGTACTGAAAAAATAAATTCTAGAGTTTTATAATTGATCACTCACTATTTTTTTATAGGCAGCACAAGAGAAGTCCAAATTAATATTAACCAATATCTTGAAGGTCCTCTCTGTATCGATCTTGGCCCAACCTAAGTAAAGCCCAACAGCTTGATCAGGAAGAGGAAGTGTTGCATTCTCTGGATTAAGGAATTACATTTTATCAGATTGACAAAATCATATGAAATTAAGAAGTTAAAAACTAAAAGGCTACGGGTAGTTTACTTTAAAAAAATGTTTTTTTGTTTTCATTTTTAATTACAAATTGTCACCTTGTTTTCAATCTATTTTTTAAGATCTATAAATGAAAGAGAGACAACAGAAAGGGAAAAAGAAAAACTTGTTTTCAATGTTGAAAATAGAAAACATATTAAAAGCAAGATGACAATTTTGAAGTAAAAATAAAAGAGAAAATTGAAAACAAAAAAATGTTCTCTCGAAGTAAACCGGCCCTGAATTGGATGAGAATGAGTATGTCATCTGCTTTGAATTTGGCAAACCTGTGGCTTCCTCAAGACATCCAGTAACATACAAACCACTCAAATGAATTGGCTCAATAGTTAATGTATCATCTATGCCTGCCAACATTAGTTTAAAAGATTACTCTGACAGAAGACACAGCATATAGAGAAACCAATCAACATACTAAGAAATAGTTAGTGCATTAGCATTACAGTCATCATAGGGTGGAAGACCCCATAGCTCCGGTTGAAACTCTAAAAGTGAATGAAGAACAACGTTTGCTAGTCCATTACAATCAGCTTCCCTTCGAGATGGGACAGCCACTATCTTCATTTTTGCAGCATTGGCTGCCTTGACACCAACCCTGTTAAAAAGCACATTGCAAAACATAAATTACCGTAGCTAATATGAATATTATATGAAAGAAATTCAAATGGCTGCAGAAAAGGTGCAATTACAAACTTAGCAGAAGATGTGTGACATATATCCTGATGGTGAATTAAAGCAATGCAATGAAAATGATATGCTCTCATCCTGAGATGAATATACAGTCGTTGAGATTAACACTGATCAACATACACATATACCTTAATAACCACGTATACTGTTTTTGAAATCCTACAAGACTGTCTGGGAGCAATATTTTGAGAATAGAGTACTTGATTGAAGAAAAAATTAATTTAGTAGTAGAACCAAGTACATGATAGGTTATATATTATGGGATATTTTTTTTAATAATACAGATTGAAATCAATAGGCAATGTCTCCTCTAAGACCATGGATGAGATCTCAACAAATTAACAGAGTCAGTCTAGATTAGAAGGATTGAAAAAAATAAAAATTTAACTTACTTTTTAGTGTTCATTTCAACCAAAATAAAAATTTACTGTTAGTTGTCAGGCAATCAAAAGCTTATAAATCACAATAGCAAATGAAATCATACACAGTATGCAGAAATTCCGAGAGACTTACAAGGAATCCTCAAACACCAGGCAGTTAACTGCATCCACACCCATTTTCATGGCAGCTTCTTCAAATCTGCAAAAATTAGCCTTTTTTACTACCGTGATAAAATTAGAATTGACTAAGAAACTAACTTCCCTATCAAACATATGATGGAAAGTGCGAGAAAACGTTGGGTGATCAGAATGCAGGAGGAAAATTTATGTAGTGTGAAGGAGTTGAGATAATTGTAGTTGATTATTTACTTCTAGTTGTGGTTAGTACAGTTAATAGATGGGATGGTGGATATTTATTTGATACTAAAAAGTGTTATAGTTTTTCTTTGCCAATAGATCTAATTCTATTCAAGGTTTATTTGTTTCCTACATATATGAGAGGCAAAAGTGCTCAAGTAGAATCTTACAAATATGGAGAAGGCTTCCCCGCTTTAACTTGGTCACTTCCAAGAATTACAGAAAAGCTTTCCTTCCAACCTGAAAAAACCGTGATAAGCATTAAAAAAAAAATGAAACTTTAACTGGAAATTATATGTCAATAATAAGGAAAAGCAAGAGCGTTTTCTAACCAGACAAAAAGTATAAAAGAAGAAATGCAGATAATTTCAGGGATCCTTTCCAAATAAGAGGGACTAACATTCAAGCATTAGGAATTCTCGGTTACTAATTATACAGACAAGTTAACCTACTTCAAATTTTCCTTACAAGTAAATTTGGTTAAATTTGGACATGTATTTAAATTTAAAAAGAACGATTAGGTATTAAATTTTATCAATTTTCTTAACATAGAATTATTGGCGATTAACTTTAAAGACATTAGGCTAGCAATTTCATTGATTACAAAAGCTAAAAGAAGAAGAAAAGAAAAGAAAAATTAAACCTCGGTTGTTTTCTTTGGCTAAATTTACTTAAGAAACTAGTACCTGTGTGCCTACATATTCATTTCTCGGTAATCAGTTCAGAAATAATGGCAAGCTCATAAGTAATACAATACTTCTTGAATTAAAAGACTCAAAATTGAAAGTCAGTAATAAACAAAAATAGCTAGCCCACAGCAAAAAACCTTTATGATGAGAAATTTTTGCATCTATGTATTCTCTCAAGGAATTCGAGGCAAGAGCCATTGGCACTCCATTTTTCTGGAGATGTTTGATAAGGCGATTTGCACCAGGTAATGCTTTGGCCATTGCCCACCTAAAACAAATTATGATTTGAAAATCAGAACCCGTGAATCTAAGCATTCAAATATGACAGTTTCCAACAGTTTTGATTTAAGTTATTAATAAAAAAGTGCTTTTCTGTAAATACAATTTTACAATATATGTTTCTTACTAATTGCTATTTACAAATTATTTAACAACCTATAACTATGCAGTGTTTAGTGTTTCATAAATCAATTTTGACTTTTAAACCCTATTCAGCCTTCCTTGCCATACTAGATATCTTCATATCACTCTGACCTCATGGCTTTAGGTTTCATTTATTATGGATAGGGGGAAAACACAGGAAGTAGAATGAGAATGTTATCCACTTAGTGTGTATTTGATTTCTATTTTCAAAAATTGCTTTAAATTTAGCTAAATAAGGTTACCCTGACTACGAATAGAGAGAGGAGAGTGCAAGGCACCTAGTAGATTAGACTCTAGAATCATGGGAGAAGTTGAAGAAGAAATAAAAAGCAAAAAATGAGAAAACATCTCCTTCAGTTTTCAAAATACTCTTTTTTTTTTTTTTTGTGCTTTTTAAATCATTTTCAAAGTTTTATACATTTTAGCGAAAATTTGATGGTTGAGTAGTGTGACATTGTTTTAGAAAACAGTTTTCCAAACAAAAAGGTGATAAAAGAATCAAGCATGCCATTACCTTTCCCTATACATAGGAGTGATTTCTTTGATAAATTGATCGGGTGTCAACGGAAGATCATAGTCCTTAACAAGTATAGCTGCTGTATCCTTTTGTGTCATTCCCAGCCTCTTCTTCTCTTCCTTCTCCCTGTCCAGTTCTTTCCCATACCTTGCCAAAAACTCACTCAAGACATCCCCTGTTGCCCTTTCTGCACACCAATAACACATGGATGATTCCAAAAGAACGCACAAGAAACAAAATTTTACAAACAACTATAGTTGAGGAGAGACTCAATTGCACTTTTTATTCCTTAAGTATCATAATTATGTAATTTTAATAGCCTAGATTCCAGTTGTGTAAATTAGTTTCACTAAATATTGGAATTGAGCAATTTTGGTCCATCTTTTATCTATTGTTAATATTTTAGTAGATTTTTCTAAAATAACAGTGAATAATATTGCCTAACGTAATTAAATTTCCATTTTAGTCTACAATACATCCATGACACATGAGAGAAATCTATTAAATATTCAACAAAAAGACTAGCTGAGGAACCAAATTACACAACTGAGAGAAACCTAATTTGCAGAATTAGAACTTGGAAACCAAAATCGCGCAATAACAACCTGAAAGTCCAGAAGTGTATAGTTAAATAAAGCTCGAGGAGAACAACAGGGGGCATACCAGTATCCAGAAGGGTGCCATCCAAGTCAAAAATGACACCCAAAACCTTGGCTCCTCTTCCGTTGCATCCTTGGAACTCACAGCAGGAACTCATTTCAGCACCGAATTTGAAGGTATAAAATTGATACAAACAATGTGAGGTTGGTAAATGGATGAGACTGTCCTATGAATACTACAGATAATACAAGATCGAATCCAACTTCAAAGGCATTCCATTCTATTCCATGAGTAGTTTATTTTTATAGGGTGGTTGGTTGTGCATGGGTATTCTTTTGATAAACTCGTTTATCTTATATCATTATATATTTTATTCATCCAATATATCAATATATCAAATATTAATAATATATTAATCATTAAAATAATTATCTTTTATCTTTTTTTTTTAATTTTATAAGATAATAATAAAAATATTTATTTTAAATAAATTTTAATATATAAAATATATCTTATGAATATATTTTTTATTTATATATTTTATATATATATATATATATAATAAAATATGATAAAAAAAATATTAACCATATTTTAATTACTAATATATAATTTTATATTTTTATTTAAAAATAATAAAAATTAAAATATTTAATTAAGTAAAAGATAATAAATTAATATTTTCACTTTTTAACAAAAGTAAACCAACAAAAGAATCATTAACTAACGCAATCTAAACCAAAAAAACAAACTGTGTCTCAGAAACAATGTTTTCATATTCTCACTCTTCTCCGTCACGTGAAGCATAAATTCTGAGCGGTAGTTGATGGCGTCACCAGCATGATCCTAAGGATATTCCGCCCTCTCACTCAAACGTGAACGAGAATGAAACATTCTTCTTCGTAGATTCTTTCTTCAGATGCTAAGATGGGAACGTTAATTAGAAGTTAACAAAATGAATTTTTAATTATCTCAACTAATTGTGAATTTGTATATATAATGAGAATAAAACAATATATTTACGGTTATTCCATTACAAAACATCCTTATAATATATTTTAAATTTATTGAATTTTATAATAATTAGATTAAAAATAATCAAATATAAATTTCCGTTGATTGACTTGTAGAAACTTTTACATTAAGATGTTTTGTACAAAATGAATTTTTTATATATATTAGAATAAAAAATATTAAAAAATTATTTATTTATCACGACCAATAATCTAATAAGAGTATTAATTAAACACAGAGTAATTTAACTAATAATTTTTTTAATAAATTTAACTAGAATCTTTCTAAAAATAATCTCTCTAAATTTATTTACTCAATTACTTTGATTATGTTTGATCCACAGAATTCAATAAAGATAAATAAATTTGTTTGAGAATATAATTATTTCTTCTTCTTCATTTATTTTCTTATTTTATCTCTCTTCATTTACTTCTTATTTTCTTAATTTTTTTCCTTTTTTATTCTTCTATTAAAAATAATATATTAAAATTTAATAACTTGAATATTATATTATTATTTAAAAATAAAATATTTAAATGAATTAAAATATTATTATTTAATATGAAAAAATATTATATGATAAATTTGAGATATTATAAATATTATTAATATGTTATAATTATTAAGAAAAAAATATTTATTTTAAAATATTTTTTTAATATTTTTTTTAAATTATTAAATCTAACTAATTATCCTAACTCAATCTAATTATAATTAAATTAAATTATTAAATAAAAAATATATTTAACTTATAAATATTTGATATTTTTTAATTAGATAAATATTTAATTATTATGATAAAATAATTTTAAACTAATTATTTACTTCATCATAAATAAAATTATTTATTATCATCATAATTTTAAATAATTATTTAATATTTTTTTAATTTAAATGTTGATTTTAATTTTTTTTATATTTTTTATTAAATTTTAATATAGTAATTTAATTAGAAAAAAAATGAAGAAGGAAAAATAAAAAATCTACCGAGAAAAAAAGAGAAGAAAACTACGTATAATTTTTAAAAAAATATATTACTCATGAGATTTAATGTCCATAAAAAAAATAATGGAATCAATCCTATTAATAATAAAAAAATTACTTAACTAAAATATTTGTAAAATTTATTTACCTAATTAAACTTATTCATTCTTCATATATAATTTTTTTTCTCTCTTCATAAAATTTTATATTTTTTTCTTTTTTTCATCCCCTCTTTACTTTCTTTTTTATTCTTTTATTTTTCTCTCTCTTCTCTCACTTATTCTAATCTACAATATTAAAATTTAATAAAAATATATTAAAGTAATTTTTTAAATTGATAGTAAAATTTAAAAGATATTAACTAATTATTGAAAATTATGATGATAGTAAATAATTATTTACGTAAATCATCAATTTATCATAATAAATTAATTATTCATCTAATTAAAAGTATATCAAATATTAACTAGTTAAATTTAATTTTTATTTAATGATTTAATCTATTTATAATTAGGTTGAGTAATAATAATTAATCAAATTAGGTAATTTAAAAAAAATATTTTAAAAAATTTATTTAAAATAAATATTTAATAATAATTTAAAAAAATATACTTTAAAATAAATATATTCTTTTAATAATTATAATATAATAATAATATTTATAATACTTCAAATTTATCATATAATATTTTTTTTAAATTATAATGTATTAAATTATAGTATATGAATAATTAATAAGTTTAATTAAATAAATAAATATTAAATATATTTTATTTAAATAAATTTTCTTATATATGTTAAAGATATTTAAAAATAAAGTCATTATCAATTAAAACTATAATCCCACACTTTGTTCGTAAGTTTTATTTATAGAAAAAATAAACAAATAATATAAAAGGAAAAGTAAAATAATTTGGTTGATTTTTTTATGAAAAAGAAAAAAAAGAATATTATATATATATATATATATATATATATATATATATATATATATATTTGATTCCCTATTTTCTTCTCATTTTGGAAGGAATATATAATATCTTATTTCCATCATTTGTTTATATTATTTTTTTAATTTATAAAAACAATTATTTATTGAAAGTAATTATATTGATAAAGTTGAGGTGCTGTAAATACTATTGTTATATTATAATTATTTAAAAAAAATATTTATTTTAAAATAACTTCTAATAAATACTTTTTTATTACCTAATCTGACTATTAAATATTTATTTTGAAGTAATTTTTTTAATAAATATTTTTAAATTACCTAATTAGATTCATGATCATTATTCAATTAGATTAAATTATTAAATAAAAAATATATTTAATTTATTAATATTTGATATTTTTTAATTAGATGAATAATTAATTTATTATGATAAAATATTTTTAAATTAATTATTTAAATTATCATAAATAATACTACTATCATTGTAATTTTAAATAATTAGTTGATATTTTTTAGTTTTCATAATAATTTTAAAAAAATTTACTTTTAACAGTTTTATTAACTTTTAAAATAATAATTTTAATTAGGAAAATAATTAAGAGATGAGAGAGAAAAACAAAATCCTTAATAAAAAAAAATAGTGAATAAGAAAAGAACAAAAATATTAAAATTTAAAAAAAATGATATAATAAACATGTTTATTTTAATAAATAAATTGATAAGAACTCTTTCTTTTTAAATGTATGATGGGATTGATTCCTTCTTCAATTCCTGTATTAAATTCTCTTGCAAATTTGTTTTAGAGCAATGATATTTTGAGATCCTCTCATCTAAATAACTCCTCTACAATTCCTTTTTTATTGACATTATAATGGTAAAAATATTTAATAAAAATAAATTAAAATTATTGTTATAATATTGAAAGTGAGTTGTTTTTAAAATTGTATGGATTTCCATGGTCAAAATATCACTTCTATGGTATAGATATTTGTTTTAGAAATTAAGTATAATCTAATATTTGTTTTAGAAATTAAATATAATCTCAACATTTCAAAATATTAGTGTCATTTACGAAATCATACTCGGGTTTGGGAAGTTTGAATAGATATGAACCTTTTGCATTGAATTTTTATATAAACATATCATGTGAAAATTGTGTTTATTTTTCTTGTTTTAAATCTACACAATTTTAAAATTAATTCCTCTTATTTAATTTTAATGAAGTGAGAGATAAACCATTTTTCATGAAATTTAAACTCGAAAAATCCACTTCAGAACTCGAAGATTTTGTTCAGGCAGAAATCAAACATTAATGCAAAACTACAATATTTTACGCAAGTAATAAGGAATTGAAAAACCGAATTAAACAGTTGATAAACCCAATTTTGATCACAAAAACAAATCAAAACACATTATATATTTATATGAAGAGAGGAGCAACGCTATTTTCCTAACTTCCCAAACAATTTCCCTCAGTCGTTTATCTACTTGTTCCACATCTTGCAGCAATAGAATAGGTATGAAATAGAATTGAAGGTTTAGGAAAAGTTGTAGTAAAAGTTGTAGCATTTCATTGGAAAAGGAAATAATACACCATAATCAATTCTCATCAATCAAATCCCCCAGAGACTGGAGGAAAAGGCTTAGGAATGAAATAGGCCATTTCCAGACACCACACAAATAAAACATAGCATAAATTTAGCACAAATGGAGTTTCTTTTTCCCCTATTGGGAAGTATGGCCAATCAACAAGAAACAAAGAAGAAACAATGGAACCCTACCTCTAACTAATACACAGATAAGTAATCGGCCCTCATGTTTCATTCCCAAATGCATCCATCAAATCTTAAGGGAAGTTCCTATTAACCATCGAATTCACTGCAAAAAGGTAGTACTGAGGTGAGAATCAAATAAAAACAAAATTACACATACCAAATACGGAAGAATTACTCACCTCTGCATCCTCACCTCCACCAAGCTTGGCAGTGCTATTCACTTTTTGGGCATCTTCTGTAATAGCGTGAGAAAATTGCAGTAAACATTTATAGAAAAGATGCACTAGAGAGAACACTGTCATAATTATATCCGGTCTAAAATATAGTAGTTGATTTTTCGAAAAATCATTTTGCTTAGCACCAAATGTCCTTCCTTACGTAGTTTAAGGATACTTTAGTTGGACACGGTCTACCATGTCAACTGATAGGCACCCCAACCAATCATTAATTCATGTGTGCAAAAGCATATTTAAAGATAGCTGCATTTCTTTCATGGGCCCCACAATCTTACCAGATAAAATAATGATTCAAGTGTCTATGGTAAACCATGCCTAGCTATTAGCTAAGAATTAATCCCTTTACGAACAGAGTAATCAAGCAATCATTATCTTCGTCGTACACAATAGGTAGCCTGTCATATTTACTGGAAGTATCCTATCCCTAACCCTAACTCCTGTTAATTATTTCACATTTTAATAGACCTATTCAAATATTACATTAGTATTATTAACACATAGAAATAGTATAAACCAAAGATTACAACAAGTATCAGTAATAATTACCTCCATCTTCTGGGATGTCAGAAGTCCACAAAGTTAGATTGTCCCTGAGAAGTTGCATGATTAAGGTGCTATCTTTGTATGACTCCTCGTTCAAGGTGTCCAGCTCAGAGATAGCTTCATCAAAAGCTTGTTTTGCAAGATGACAAGCTCTGAAAATAGAAATACACAAACATCCTCATTACACACAAAACATCAAACAACAATCATACTTCAAAATAGAAATCAAAGCTAAAAGCCACAAACCTTTCTGGAGAATTCAAGATCTCATAATAGAAAACTGAGAAATTTAAAGCTAGACCCAATCGGATGGGGTGTGTGGGTGGTAAATCAGACTCAGCTGCAGTGGTAGCAGACTGCAATAAATAAAACATACTAGTGTGACGTAGAGACACAAGGATTAAGTATTCTGAACTTTTGAGTACATTATAAAATAAATATGAGAGGAAAATAATCATAAATCATATAATTAAAACAGAAAGAACTAAATAAAATATTGATTAAGTGCAAGAAACAGCGCAATTACAACTCTACAAACTTAGTCATCAAAAGAATAAATAACATTACTATCAACAGATATTACACAAAAAATAATAGTGTACAATCAATCTACGCAATATAAAGTGGCAAGGGTAATGAAACAAAATTTCTCCAATTCCAGTCATCAGTCCTGCCCAAAAGACTGGCGATCATAGCAACTTAGCAAGAAAAGAGAATGATCAGTGAGGAATAGGGTAAACCAATACAGCAGAACTCAAGAACCAAAGGTTTAATTGCAAACTTAACAAGCATTGACAAAAATATACCCAAAATTTCCAAATCCTCATGGACAGCATTGTTGCAAATAACAGTTATTTTTGCTAAACATTGTTCAAATTAGAGGAGTTCAAACTTTTCCGGACAAAAGCCACCTAAATAAACCGAACAACAACAGTATTACTAACAACAAATATATAGAAGTTTAACAACAGTTTTTAAACAAAAAACAAAAACAAAAACTCAACACAAAACCAAAACAAACCTTGAGAATATAATATCTACCAAAACAAAAAATGAAGAGCAAAAGAATCTTCCTTAGATCAATTGCTAACAGGATATTTTCAACAATCCCAGTAAACAACCATCCTTAGATAAAAAAAATCATATGACATGCGAAGCATTAAAACAATATAAATTGCACCTCATACACTTTCAAATATTGATCAGCAGCATCCTTAGATCAATTGGAACAGATATGTTCAACAATCCCAGCAAACAACCATCCACAGGGTAAAAAACATCATATAAACCGCAGAACATTAAAACAATATTAACGCACCTCATATGCTTTCATAGACTGATCAGCAGCTTCCTTCTTCTCATTGCCGGTCTTAAATTCAGCAAGATAACGATAGTAATCTCCTTTCCTGCAAGGAGAATATGTTAACATCCTTCAATCCCCATGCACAAAAAACACATCACACCAAAACACACCCTGTGGCAGAGAATGAGTGGATAGTGCTCACATCTTATAGTAAAACACAGTGGATTCACCAGCTGCAGCCGAGGGAATAAGGTGTTCATCAATCACTCTCATAACATCATTACAGATGTTCGAAAGCTCCAATTCAACCTTCTGCCTGTAATCCTTAATCCGCTTCGCATTCAATTCATTGCCTTTTGTCTCTTCCTTCTGCTCTATGGAAGACAGGATCCTCCATGACGCCCTCCGAGCACCAATCACATTCTTGTACCCAACAGAAAGCAAATTCCGCTCCTCCACAGTCAGTTCAACATCTAGATTCGCAACCTTCTTCATCGAATCCACCATCTCTGCCACAAACAGATACAAAAACGAAACATCACAAATCAAAACTTCACATCACAGGAAAAATAAAAACAACACTCTGACCAACTTCAACATGCAGCACCAAAAAAATTGAAATAGCCACAAGTACCAAAACAGAACGCACTTTCCTGATTAAAAATAAAAACAGAGAAAAGGAAATCAAAATAAAAGTGAAAATCTAGAAATGGAAAGCAAATATCCTTTTGCAACCAAACTGACAGTGAACAGTAATTAGTAAACCAAATTGACAACTAAAAATCATGTTTCTCACTAAACACAATATAAACTGAAATAAGAGAAGAAAGATTTACTCAAATAAGTATAAACAAGCAAACACATAAAAAAAACTATCATAAAATCGAGCACATCGACCCGCATGTGTGGGTCAGACTCAGAGAAGCAAAGGAAGAACTGCAAACCTTCATATCGCTCGGCCTGTTCGGCGAGCTTGGCGATGTAGACGAAGTTGTCCCGATCCTTGGAGGAAGTCATGGCGGATCTTTTCAAAATTAGGGTTTGTGAATTCTCTCTCTGATCTCACTCTCTATTTCTCACTCTCGCCCTCTCCGCGATTCTTCTTGGTCGAGGTTCTGTAGAAAAGAACACGGTCCTGAAATGTCAAATGTGTCCCTCTCTTTTCTTTATTTTTCCCTTTTGATCCTCTCGATGACTCCGGGGATATGATAAAGTGAGTGAGTGCGAAAACTAAACTGGATTTCCAGCCACTCAGTGGACTCCACCTGTCCCCTAAACCTTCGGTAGCATCTTCCTATCAATCATATCGTGACACGTAGTCAATGATGTTTTTTTTTTCTTTTTTCTTAATTTACTGTTTTTTAGGTTATTTAAATTGATTTGTAAGTTTGTCCAAGGCTGAGTGAAGGGATGTGGACATGAAACTCTTACTTTGTCTTTCTTCGCTTTCACAACTGCTCTCTAAAATCTCTAATTCTTTCTTTTTCTTTTTGGCAATGGATTAGAATAAACATTTAAATCATCATAATTCTGATTAATTATATAAGTTAGTTAATACATTATTATGACATTACTTTATCATATATTACCTTATATATTCATTAATTTTTTTAATTATATAATAATAGAAATATAACAGACATTGTCACACTTATTATCATATTTTATCAAATAAAGACATCAATTATAACCGGAGATACAGAAAAAAAATCATTATTAAAATGTTATCAAAATAAAGATAAAATTATAAAAATAAATATACATTAAAAAATAATTATATAAATTAAAATCATCTTTATTCATCTATATAAAGTTTTATTCTTCGTTACATACAAACTTTAGTACATAGTTCTTTTCTTCCTCCAATTTTTTATGTTTTTTTTTCTATTGAGCTTGCTTTTTTTAATAATGAAACAAAATTTATACCCTATTTATAATGTTAAGTAGAAGAAATATAATAATACAATAATCACTAATAGATGTATATTCATATTTTTATCTGATATTTAAAGTATAATTATTGTAATAGAAAAACAGCTGATAAAGTAAATACAAAAAGTTCTACTAAAAATATATTTCACCATTATAAACATAAAATAAAATTATGAGAATATATATTATAAGAATGTGCACAAAGTTAAATAGTTATTGACGACCAAACTAAATTTAACTCGGTCTTTTTTAGACTTATTAGACTATCCAAACAAACCAACATTCTTATATAAAATTAAATGTTTTTTTAAATAGACAATTTTTAAAATTAAAAAAAAATGCTTGCATTCTTACAAAAGTTATTTAATAAATTATATTTATAATAATTATATTCTTCAAATTACTTGTATTTTGTAATTACACACTTTTATTAAAAAAAATATTTGTCAAAAAAGTAGATACAATCACGAAGTGTCTCTTTTTTAATTTGACATAAAGATGTATATTCATTGAATGATGAAAATTTCGAAAGACTAAATTGGAAGTTTGAATATTGCATTTTTTTAATGATTGAAGTTTGAAATGTATAGAAGAGGAAAAAAATGCAATAGGAATATGACATACCAAGTACTTTGAATGTGTTTGTGAAAATGATTATAAATATGAACAAAATTAAAGTTTGATTATAACTAAGCGATGGTGGTACAATGACACATGCCATACCATCTCAGTCACATACAGACAAGATTATGGCGTACATAAAGAGGGGTATATAATTCATGCAAGGAAAATGAAACTTTGAAATTAACAATAATCATTAAAAAATACCATGAACCAATCATTATCTAAAAGAATCTCTACGTAACTCTAAAAACAAATTAATCTCTTAACTTTTAAAATCATATTAATATTGATTTTTTATCTAATTGATTATAATATTTTAATTGGATCTATATCAAATAAAAAAATTAAACAATATACAAATAAGATAAATCCACGTATCTAAGAGTGTAATTTAAAGATAATGTAATATTTTCTTATATAATTAATTTGTTTAAATTTTGTTTATAAATATCTTTAAGTTATTGTCCTTTGTCAAATAAGTAAAAATAATTATATTGATACTAATTCAAACATTAAATGAGAAAGTTTAATTAATTACTTAAAAAATTAATTAAGAGAGAGGTTTAATTAAAAATTAGATTTTAATATTCAGGTTTTAAGTCCCAAATAAATCCCATTTAAATATGATGGCTAAATTTGGCTTTAATATTTGTATTTTTTTTACTAGTTTTATATTCATAACCAACATAACTGCATGTTCAGTTTATGATAAATATATAATAAATTTTAGACTTAAATAATTAAAGCATAAAGTAAATAAAATGTAGAAAGCAAGCACCAAAAGATAAATGAATAAAAAACACAAAAAAGTTTATGGCAAAAGTTAATGAATACCTCTTATGACATCATCAACACTTATTTCTAGAGTTAAATAAGTATGCTAAGTCTAGTTGACTTTTCTATCATCATGTTCTCCGTCATCATTAACTCTAATGGATACACCTTGCATTGCAAAAGAAGCAAAGGTACACACACTTGAGTGATTCAAAACTTAATTAATAGTGAAGACAATGAGAGAGAAACCCCTTTCTTACACATTGTTTAATTAATGCTTCAAACATACACTTCATATTTTATAAGTATATAAAATAACATAACATAATGTTTTCATTTGTATGAGCATGATCATGATACGGTCACATAATGGAACAAGCGTGGGGATTGTCATCACTAAAAGTAGCACCAGTTTGGTTGCCAAAGATGGAAGATTGTGAAGGATAGTTGAAATGGCGAGGATCACTGCTATCATAACCATGTTTGTAATAGTTATAAGATGAGGAAGGTTGAGAAGCATAGTAGGTGAGAGGGCCATTGCAATGGTGCTGCTGAAAATATTGGCTCTGAGCCTCTGTTGTATATGGAAGTTGCCACAGCTCAGCCCTGCGACCAGTTTTTCGTACAGTTTTCAGAACCTTCTTCTGGTCAGCATAGCCATTCACAGTCACCTTCTGCAATTTCATGTCTATTTCAATGCCATCCACCCCTGAATAAACCAATACATGAATTTAGATCACAAAAATTATACTTTTGGCATGCACCACTACCTATTTTATATGACAAAAAGTAGTGTTATTTTATTATTATTATAATACTAAAAGGGATTGTTGAATGAAATATAATGTCAAAGATAATATACCTTTTAGTTTTTGTAGTGCAGTTTTCACTTTGTTTTCACATCCAGGGCAATCCATGTGTACTCTCATCTCTATGATCTGAGGATAGAAACAAAAAGAGATGATCAAACAGAAATAAGAGATAAGGTGATTGACTTGATTAAAGAAAGAAATGGAGAAAAGAAAAAAGTAAGTACTGTGAAATAATTGTATGACCTAATATCATTGAGATAGAAAAAGCATTGCTCACCGTCATGTTGCTCTTGGTGATATTGTATGATGATGATGTTGTTGTATCTTTCGGTGAAGGTTTAGGAAATGAATGAATCCAATAATGTTGAGTTTGTCCTAGCTAGGTAGCAAAACATGTGTATATATAGAGGGAAGATAATTGGGTGGCATGGTGCCTCATATTTGCTTGTCTGGTATGGGTTCATTTTTTTATTATTTGGTGGTTTAGATAAAATATAATTTTCTGCACCGACCTTTAATTGTGAGTCTTCATTTTGGAGAGTTGAGATTCGAAAACGAAGCAAAGGGCAAACGCACGTTGCTTTATTCATGGCGCAGCTACCTCAAATTCACATGCATTAGAATAATGCCTCTGAAATTAATTATATATGCATATAAATATCCAGTTCAATTCAGTATGGTGTTTGACTTTGTGTTTGTATTGCTGCCCTCTCTCCCATTCCCTTTATTTAACAAGAAGACATTTCTTGGTGATGGGTTTTTCAGTTTTCCTTTTCCAGAAAAAACAGTATAATTATTTCTTTCATTTATATGATTAGTCTCTGCTAATCTTTTTTTAACGCTATTTCAAGTAAGGTGTCTTTAAAATACTAACTTCTATGTTATGAACTTTACATTATTATACCAAAATAAACTGTTATAAAATCGTTCTTTAAAGATACAAAGCAAGGGAAAGTTTTGAACAAACCCCACTTACAATTCTGTGTACAAAACCAAATTCCAAAAACCATGTCAAAGAAAAGAAAAGTAGTATAATATCATACAAGAATTGTAAGTGATCATCAATAGGATGGTAAGAGTCTCCATAAAGACCTTGACCAAAACCATGTTTTATTGTATAATAATATTTATTATTATACCGAGAACAACAGAGTAACAGTTATTTGATATTAGTGCAAATCTCTAATAGAAATAGTAGGTTAAAACGGTTCTATGCATGACACAACACACATTATACATACATAATCCCCCCCCCCCCCCACACCACCCCCACACTGCTAAGGACGCTTAACCGGTATTTTGCATGCCAGCAGCAATACCCTTCATTGTCAAAATAAGGGTGTCTTCAAGGCCAGGTGCATACTCGCTTTTGGGGTTAAGTTTAACAAGTTCTGCTGCTGGCTTGCTTGATTCCATGTAGTCCTTTGACAAGTGTGGCCTCAACTTCACATGGTAGTCAGGATCACGGATTCGCTTCAATGTGTAGGCTTGCAACACATTCAGGGTCGTGATGTATGAGTCACGAAGTCGAAGTCTTTGCTTCAGGTAGGGGTCTCCTTCAAGAAGATCCTTGTGCCCAGCAACCTATAATAAACACGATTTATTAGGCCTGAACTAGGTAGGGAATAGCATTAAGCATAGATTCAAGGAGAGAAAAAGTTGGGAGGGAAAAGGGTATAGCAATATTGCATGCTTTTAACTAACTAACACCACAACTTTATGAAAAGAAATTAAACTTCTAGTCTAGGATAGATTTTATATCATCTTTACATTTTAACTTAATTTCTATAAAATTGACTTTTCTGAAGGATATACAAGAATCATACAAATCAAAGTTCAGTGAGAAAAAAGAATCTTTCATAAGGATTTATTGAAGCTTATGACAGCTTCATGTTGTGCTTTGAACATGATATTCTGACAATTAGTAAATGGTAATTAAAATTACCAGGAGGAGAAAGTTCTTGGCTTCTTCGTATTTAGCTCTTAAGCTCTCTCCGAATGGACGTAGCTCTTCTGACACTAGGAGTTTGTCAAATAGGGCTGCAATCCCGGGGTCTCCCTTGGCAAACACCATCTCAACCAAGTCAAGGGTGACCCTGAAGAAAGGCCATTGGTTGTACATATCCTGAAGTATTTGGAGATTCTTTGGATCTTTCTCAACAACATGCTTAAATGCTGCACCAAAACCCAGCCACACTGGCAAATGAAACCTAGTTTGTGTCCATGCAAAAATCCAAGGAATAGCACGAAGAGATTCAATTCCTCCACTTGGCTTTCGCTTTGATGGACGACTGCCAATGTTCATTCTTCCATACTCCAACTCAGGAGTTGCCTGCAGTGCACAAAATTCATGAATGAAACAAAATCAAATCAAAGAAACTGCAACATCATAAGTATGTTCTTTAGTTAATTGACTTGAAAGGAGAAAAAAAAAAGAGGATATACCATGAAAGTTATAAAAGTATTGTCAAGGAAATTATTAAGAACAGTCAGGTGGGTCATTTATACAGTGGAAAAGGAAAGAGATTCTAGGTTTTGCTACCACTTGTTATATTTTGTTATCTTCCCCAACAAGAACTTAATTAGAATGCATTGAATTCAGATTGTCACTTGATCATAAAAATCTTTAGACAGAGAGTGAGTGAAAATTAAACTCAATATTAATCAAATTATGACTACCTTAACCAAATTATCACTTTTGTTTAAAAAAAAGAACCATTTAGGCAAAGGTTAACAACTAAAGAGTGAGTACTAGCAGCATCACTTACGCATCTGAAATACTCAACAAAACGAGGCTCTTTGAAAACAACAGAGCGATACTCCTGAGTAGCAATGACAGCCATCTCATCCATGAGGGCGCGCCATGCCGGTTTTGGTGACACAGGAGGATGCATGCCATGCTCAAGTGTAGCTGCAGTGAATCTTTGAAGTGTCCTAAAGCACAAGTGCTCCTCTCCAAAAGACTGTTCAATGACTTCACCCTGAACCGTTACGCGAAGTGAGCCATGAATGGTATCTGGTGGCTGAGACAAAATAGCAAGATGAGTCGGTCCTCCTCCTCTTCCAACAGTCCCGCCTCTCCCGTGAAACATTGTAAGCTTCACACCAAACTCCTTAGAAACCTTCACAAGTTCCTCTTGAGCCTTGTAAAGCGCCCAAGCAGCTGAAAGACGGCCAGCATCTTTTCCTGAGTCTGAGTACCCTATCATAACTTCTTGCGTCCCATTGATGCGGTTTCTGTACCAATCTATGGAGAAAAGTCGCGCCACGGCGGCCGGAGCAGCCTCAAGATCAGCAAGCTTTTCAAACAGTGGCACCACCCTTAGTGGCTGCTTCACATGGCACTCACGTTGTAAAAGCTCAACAGCAAGCACATCAGATGGGGCTGTGGCCATTGATATGATGTAGGCACCAAAATTGTCTGGGGGAAGCTCTGAAATGACATGGAAGGTTTCCAAAACATCAGTGATTTCTTCTGTTTTGGGAAGGTCATGGCCAAAGAGAGGGCGTTTTCCACTGAGTTCAGACAAGAGCCACTCCTGCCTCTTTTCCTCAGGCCACTCTCTGTATGATCCAATTTCCAAGTGTTTTGTGATAGCATCCATAACATCAGTGTGCCTATCTGACTCTTGACGGATGTCAAGCCTCACAAGTGAGAGTCCAAATGTGGAAACTTGCCGCAGGAAATCGAGGAGGCTTCCATCTGCTATTGGTCTGTCACCACATGCACAGAGTGACCTATAGCATAGCTCAAGAGGCTCCAGGAACTTCAAGAGAAAATTGGATGTTATAGAATTTCCAAGAGAAATTAATCATCTATTTGCTAGTTAGAACTTAAACAGCTATTTGCCATAATGCTTATCCATACATTCTCTAGACAGTTTAATCTTTTTGCTGAAGAGAAAATCTATTAATTAACTTGAAATAAAATTTAAATCATATTCAACAACTAAACCTAATCCATAAGTTAGAGTTCCATTAGGATCTATAAGCAAGGTATGAAACTAGAATTTCATATCGGAAGTATAGGTTTCTGGTGGTGGAGTTTATAAGGCTTTGACTCTTTCAAGTATAGTGACTAGCTTTTGTGGTTTAGTTTTCCTAAGGTAATTAAGTTCCCATAGAGGCAGAAGTTATATGCACTATGAGGATAGGAGAATCCAGCACTGGTAGTAATATAAACATTATTGAATTAGGTCAATATATTGCATCATGTTGTACTGCTCCTCCTACATTCCCACTGGTCAAACCTCGGGAATGTGATCTAGGTACTAATCCAAAATATTACAACATATTATCAATTAGAAAGCAATTAATCATGTCAGTGCACGACAATTTTCTTTTAAGTATAAGGTTCCCATTCTTTTAACAGTTTATAGAACATTGATGGGAATTATACCTGCTCAACATTAGTGAAGGTTGTCTCCTCTGCAATATCGGAGGTTCCATTGGCTAATAACTGGCGAGCACGTTCACGTGTGTTATACAGTTTGTCTCTGACATCACCAAGAATAACACGATATGGCTCATTTGGAGGAATCTGTTTCCAAAACTCTGCATCAATTGAGACTTTATTACATCAAGACCACAATTGAAATTTACTCTCAAATTCAACTCTAAACCGATACAACACTGATACTTCCCTGATATAATGAAATATCCAAATCTATGAAGCATTAATGTTTTTATTTGTTTTATAAATAATACTTTTAGACAGTTACTCAGTAAATGTTAAAAACTTTCAAAATCATTTATATTTAATAAAAGTTTAAGAAATATAAATATTATTTTTTATAAATGAAAGAAAAATATTATTCTTATCAAATATTTTAAGAAATTAACGAGAATGATAATCTTTCTCCTGTGATTTGAAATTTGGATTTACATCATCGTATTTTTTATATTTTTAAATACGTATATTTTACTTATTGTATCCTATGTTTTTAGACTAAACGTATGTTCGTATATCGTATGGATACATCATAGGCATAAATAAATGTGAGATTTTGTTCAGTTGATACTTAAATGTGCATTTCAAAACAAAATAATGCATACCTATGTAATGTTTTGCATCTCTCTTTGAGGACCTATGGAGTTCATGAGCACGAACACGGAGC